CAGGCAGGCAGGCGGGCGGCGGTGAGCAGGGGGCCCACCCGCAGGCAAAGAGCGCCAGGCCAGTGCCGCCAAGCTGGCAGCAGGCAGCAGGCGCAGGCGCCCCTCGAGCGCGCGCCAGCAAGCGCCCGGGCCCCAGCCTGCCTCCCTGCCTCCCTGCCTCCCTGCCTGCCTCAGTCTCTGCCTCCCTGCCTGCCTGCCACCCTGCCTGCCTCCCTCCCAGCCAGCCAGCCCGCGCTCACCGCTCCGCCTTGTCGCCCCAGGCCGGCTCGGGCGGCGGCGCCGCGCCCGCCGCCGCCGCCGCCAGCGCCGCCGCACGCGCCTCCAGGGCCGCCGCCGAGATGCCCAGCCGGTCCTGCAGCGCCTGGAACACGGCGGGGCCTGCGGGGCGGGCGCACGGGCAGCACCAGCAGCCCCGTGGGAGCAGCGGAGCGGCAACGGCAGCGTCCGGGGCCGCGGCTCTCGCCAGCGCTCGGCGGCCGCCGCCAGCGCACTTGTCAGCTCGTGCCAGCTGCCGCGCCGGTCCCGCCTCTGCCCCGGGCCCCGGCCCCCGCCCCCGCTCCTGCAGAGCAGCCGCCTCGCGGCGCGGCAGCGCCCCACCTGTGCCAAACTGCGCAGCCACTGCGCGGATGATGAAGTCGTGGCGCAGGCGGCGGATGCCGTGCAGCGCCTGCCGGTCCGCCTGCGCCTCCACGTCCGCCTCGTCCTCGCTCACAGGCACCGTCTCGCCCTTGTCGTCTGCGGGCGCAGGCGGCGGGCGGCGGGCGCGGCGAGCGTGAGCGGCGGCGCAGCAGGGGCGGGCGCGGGCCGTGCCGGGCACGCCCAGCTACATCCACGTGCCGCCGAGCACGGGCACGGGCTGCCGCACGTGCGAACCCAAGCCCTCAGAGAGAGGGAGAGGGAGAGAGAGAGAGGGAGACAGAGAGACGTCCGCCCCCCCCCACGCTCTGCTTGCGCCTCTCCCTGCCTCCCTCCCTCCCACCCTCCCTCCTGTCGTGTCCGCCCGCAGATCGGTCCTGGCGAGGTGGACAAGGAGCTCGACAGGGAGGTGGGGGAGGAGTGCTCCAAGTATGGGTCCGTCACCAAGTGAGTGGCGGGCTGGGCGGTGCCGCTGCCGCGCCGGCAGCCCTGCCAGCGCTGGACGCGCGGCTGGGCTGGGCCGGGCCGGGCGGCGCACGCGACGCCCCGTGCCGCACCACCGCGCCACGCCCCGCGCCTCGCCTCGCCTTCTCCCGCCCCTCCTCTGCCCAAACTGGCACCCCGCCTCCACATACTCGCTGCACCTTTCGCCGCCACCACCCCGCCCCGCCCGTCACACGCCAAACCCTGCCCGCACTTTGGCTTTCCACCTCCACGCCACTGTCGGCGCAGCGTGATGATCTTCGAGGTCACCGAGCCGGGCTTCCCCTCCGACCAGTCTGTGCGCATCTTTGTGCAGTTTGAGCGGGTGGAGGAGGCCACCAAGGTGTGTGGGGGGGTGGGGGTGGGGGGCACGCGCGGCGGCATGCCGCCGCGACTCCAGCGCTCAGCACCACCGCTGGCTGGCTTTCTTTTTTGTAGGGGCTGGCTGGCCTGCCGCTCACACACGCCTCGCCACACCCTCTTGCGCACGCGCACCTGCACAGGCTGCGACACCTGCCCTGCCCTGCCTGCCTGCCTCGCAGGCGCTGGTCGACCTGCAGGGGCGGTTCTTTGGGGGGCGTGAGGTGAAGGCCCAGTTTTTCGAGGAGGAGCGGTTTGAGAAGCTGGAGCTGGCGCCGCGGCCGGAGGAGGTGCGGCGGTAGCTCCCTCGTGCGGCGGCCGCCGCGCCTGCTGCCCCCGCCGGCGCTGGAGCATGCACCGCGGCAAAGGCGGCGGCGCGTGGCGTGGAGGAGGGGTTTGAAAAGTTGGCGTGGCGTGGCGCGCTGGAGGAGCTGCCCATGTGTCGAGCGGGCACCCAGCCAAGGGGCACAGTTATTGCACAGCCCCACCCAGCCCCACCAATAGAAAGTCTGTGCTGCAAGCTTGCTCTTGCTAATATACGGACTGTAAACCCTCTCAAGCAAGCTGCACTATCGGCAACGGCACCAAACCCAAAGAGGTAGACCACCAGCTGGTGAACTCAAGCTTCCAAGCGCGTAGGAGCCGGAGCACGCGTGCCCGCCTCATATTACAGCTGGCAAATCCCTTAAAATCCACCCGTCCCTCGTATTCTTATCTTCTTCCGGAGGCCTTTCACTGCGGGGTCGTGAATTGCCTCTCCCAGCGCCATTTGCGCCTCTACAACACCCTCCTGAGCCTCTGCACCATGCAGCCGCGCGCTGCAGCTCTCCTGGCGGCCTTTCTGGCCCTCGCAATCAGTGGTGAGTGACATGCCTCGGGCAACAGCGATGGCCCCTCCCGACAGCCTAGCCCATGCGCAGTCCGCGGCATTGATGATCACAGTGTGGAACGACAGACAGTGTCCTCCCCAGGCAGTGTCCTCCCTGAGCCCTCTCTCCGTTTTGATGGCATGTCATATCCAGTCACATGCCGCTGTCCACCGCCCACCGCCGCCCCACCACCGCCGCCCCACCGCAGGCGCCTCCGCAAAGTGCAGCGACGCCAACGACAGCCCGTGTGTAAGGTGCCACAAGGACGGCCTCAGGTAAGCGCCACTCCTCAAGGAAGTCCAGCGCGGGCGCCAGCCATCACACCGCTGTCTGCTGCTGCTTGCGCCATCCCCGTTGTTGCCCGGTGATCACCTCATGAGGCCCATATCGCCCATGCTTGCAGGTGCGCTAAGTGCGTCTGGCGTTATGGGCTGACCCCCAAGGGGACCTGCGCCCAGGTGACTGCACTCCCATGTGGCCACAACGTTGATTGTTGCGTGCGCACTGCTTTATTGGCAGCGCTGCTCACTCGCTCCTCATGCGACCCAGCCCCTCTCTCTCCCGCCCGCCTCTCTGCTCCTGCGTGCAGTGCAAGGTCCCGGGCAAACTTGGTTTTACTTGCATCAAGTGTGACGGCCCCCGCCAGGACGTGTGCCAGGAATGCAACGATTGGGACGGCCTGCGCGACAAGCCCATGGGTGCGTAGGTATCCAGCAGGCAGGCAGCACCCCGTGCTGCCGAGCTGCGGCCGTAGTTTCCTGCCAGAAGGCCACAGCCACGGGACTCGGCGGCACGGCGTTTCGGTCCACGGCTTGCTGCCGCCGCCGTCGCAGGGGTGCTGCCTGCGGCGGCGGCGGCACGGCGTTTGGGTCCACGGCTTGCTGCCGCTGCCGCCGCCGCAGGGGTGCTGCCTGCGGCGGCGGCGGTAGCGCACGTGGCAACCCCCCGCGTTTCCTTGCCTCCCATCCACCGGACCCCGTCCTGCGCTTCACTTTGTTTAGGGAGGGGCTGCTCACTGCTCATTGCTCATTGCTCATCGCACACTGCTCAACGCTCATTGCCCTATATCCCACCCAGCCGCAGGACTCCACTGCCGCCCGCGCCCCGCCCCATCTGGCCGCTTGCGCGCCCCATCCCCCCTCGATGGGGCCCACCCACACCGGGGCCTCGCCCCCTCCCGCCCACTGCTTTCTCAACGGCCCCGAGCCGGGGCTGCCCTCATTGCATACATAGTGCGGCCTTTCCCTGCTTTTCTAGTGACCTAGCGTTCCGCACTGCCGTTTGGCCAGCCCATGCTCCCGTACCGTTGCGTTTCTCCCCAATGCGCCATGCCACTTTGCCAGTCATACACACGTTTCGATGCGTGCCCTGTCAGCTGCTTGCGTTGCATGTCGCCTTGCTCCACCCCTGTTTTATTGCTTTCTCTGCTTTCGCCCGGTTCCCGTCCCGTTTCGGCGGGGAGTCTATGTTGCAAGCTAGTTCTTGCTTTACCAGACTTTAAGCCCACACAAGCAAGCCTCCAGGCACATGTGCAGTCCACTTGTTGGTTCGAGCCTTGCGCATGGGGCTGGGAGCACTCCATGGTCAGGCTGCTGGCAAGCCAGACTGACCTTACCATCATCTCCATGTCTGAGCTGCTGCCGCAGGCGTTTACGCCACTGTGAAAGGTCGGTGCAAGTACTGCAAGGACAAGCACTGCTGGAAGTGTGCCTCCAAGACCGGCATCTGCCGCACGTGTTTCGGGTGAGACGCCCCCAGCAGCAGCCCCGCCATCTCCCATGCCCCACCCAGCGCACACACATTCGCCCTATGCTGCTGACTCCTCTTTCCCTTCCCCTGCTCTTGCCGCAGGGGTTATGGTCTTGTCAAGGGGGCGTGCATCAAGTGCCGCGACAAGAACTGGTGAGCAGCGCGGGCCTTCCTTGGGTGACAGCCTTGCCGATTGTGGTAAGTCGGCGCTCACCCCCACCCCACCCTCACCCTCCACCCCCTCCCATCGCTAATGTTTTGAAACGCTTGTTTCGTATAACGTTGTGCTTGCAGCGAGACCTGCAATCGCAACGTGGGCCGGTTCATTCATTCATTCATTCATTCAGCACACAGCCCGGCCGCCTCTTGCTCGAGGGCGGCCCACTTTGGCCTGGGCAGCCCGGGCCGCCCTCCCCCCCGGGCGCATGTTCGGTGTTGGAGGGGTGTGCCCAGCGATAGGGGGCCCCTGAAGGCATGCGCCGAGGCCGGGAAGCGTGGTTCGGCGCTGCTGCACGCTTGGCGATTTGACCAGAACCACGTGCCGCCGAGCTGCGGCCGCAGTTTCCGGCCCACGGTCTACGGTCGCAGCCACGGGACTCGGCGGCACGGCGTTTGGGCCCAAGCTTGCTGCCGCCGCCGCCGTGCCCGGGGGGCAGCGCGGCGGCGGCGGCGGCACGCTGCGACGCCCCCGTGCTGCCGAGCTGCGGCCGTAGTTTCCTGCCAGAAGCCCACGGCCACAGCCACGGGACTCGGCGGCACGGAGTTTCGGTCCACGGCTTGCTGCCGCCGCCGTCGCAGGGGTGCTGCCTGCGGCGGCGGCGGCACGGCGTTTGGGTCCACGGCTTGCTGCCGCTGCCGCCGCCGCAGGGGTGCTGCCTGCGGCGGCGGCGGTAGCGCACGTGGCAACCCCCCGCGTTTCCTTGCCTCCCATCCACCGGACCCCGTCCTGCGCTTCACTTTGTTTAGGGAGGGGCTGCTCACTGCTCATTGCTCATTGCTCATCGCACACTGCTCAACGCT